TATATATACACGTATATATCTTTCTGTTGGGATGTTATATCTCTCTGAGCTCTGGGTGGTCTCGAATGGCAGAACAGAATTTTGCTTCTTACATTATTTAAATTGTGTGGAAATTGACGTACAAATATTTACATTTCTTCAAGTGACAGCCTGTCCAAATAGATGAAGCGGCTACATATTATACAGTGAAGGAGTGATTTGAGTCAAGAACATTCATAATTGAAGATGGCACACACCCCTGATCTTTAAGGTAGGTAAGATCGAGAAAAATGTCACTTTTTTTCTCAAAATGAAGACGCACAATTTCGAGGGTCTCGTGTGCTCGTTGTGCACATTAAAGAGTCCTTGGTGATTGAAAGCAATTTCAGGCCTTAGGCCGCCATTCGTGCAAAATTCAAAACTGAACCCCCTCCCGTAAGATAATATATTCCTATCACACATGTTAAATAGTAAGGCAAGTTTTTGTACCGTCCTGGATTTCAAACTTATTGATCTTAATTTGTTTCCTTTTTAGCATATCAAGGAAGTTCATATCTGAAGGGAGAGGAGTGGTGCTTTTGTAAGCTACGTCCATCATGTCCCTCCCCCCAAACCCCCCCCCCAAAAAAAAAAACCAAAACAAAAACAAAGCTGTACTCGTATCATGGATATTACTTTCAGATCGTTTGTCAAGATGCAAAAATCCATAGAAAAAGTAGAAGTACATGTCTAAGCAAGAGAGACAACTACTAGCTGGTATTTTGACAGCAATTATGCCAAAAAGGATACACCCACCCACCACCCCCTTCCGTCTTGAACACACATCTGTGTGAGGCGGTTTGGTGAAATAAGACGCCCGTCAAAAATAATCAAAATGAAGAAACTGGTATTTTCTGCAGGTTTGTGAATTTTATCGAATTTATTTTTGAGGTTTTTTTGTTTGTTTGTTGCTGGGATTTTTTGGGGCTCAACACCTATCATGCCCATTTAAGAACACTTTTCTGAGTCGATTGTACTGAAAAACGTTGATTAAAGACTCAAAAATGTACATTTTCAGTTTCCGCGGAGTCTCAAGTTAAGGAAATAACACATCTTTAGCTGCCATTTTCTCACTAATTTTACCTTTGAAACAGGTGACCCCCACCACCATCATTTGCAAATATCTCGACTTCTATTCATGACAAATAAACAAGCTTTAGGGTGATACCATTAACTCTACATGCCTAAAAATTGACGAGAGCCTGATTCCACCGCGTTGTGAAACGGCTTGTGACGTAACGGAAGCACCGGTAAATCCAGGAAGTTGCGCCCACTACTGTTGGTCGGAGATTTCATCCTGATTCAGTGATTACCCGGGGACGCAGAGGGCAAGGATTTGAGACGATCTGCCTACTATTTTTGTTTTCTCACTGGAGAAGATTATGAACTGATAATAG